TGCCCCATAGGAAGCCACACCCCCCCCAACCCTCCCTATAGCAGCGCCCCAGGGTCCCCTATGGAAGGGACCCAGGGGCCTGGGATCCCCTATAGATGGGAATGAGGCGTCTGGGGACACCTATAGAAGGGACCCAGGAGCCCAAGGGCCCCTATAGAAGAGACCCACAAGCTTGTGCTCCCCTATAGAAGGGACCCAGGAGCATATGGTCCCCTATAGAAGGGATCCAGACGCCCCTAGTCCCCTATAGAAGGGTTCCAGACACCCCTAGTCCCCTATAGAATGGATCCAGACACCCTTAGTCCCCTATAGAAGGGATCCAGACGCCCCTAGTCCCCTGTAGAATGGATCCAGATGCCCTTAGCCCCCTATAGAAGGGATTCAGATGCCCCTAGTCCCCTATAGAAGGGATCCAGACACCCTTAGTCCCCTATAGAAGGGATCCAGATGCCCTTAGCCCCCTATGGAAAGGATCCAGATGCTCTTAGCCCCCTATGGAAGGGCTCCAGACGCCCCTAGTCCCCTATAGAAGGGCCCCAGACGCCCCTAGTCCCCTATAGAAGGGCCCCAGCCACCCTTAGTCCCCTATAGAATGGATCTGGATGCTCTTAGCCCCCTATAGAAGGGATATAGATGCCCTTAGTCCCCTATAGAATGGATCCAGACACCCCTAGTCCCCTATAGAAGGGATCCAGACGCCCCTAGTCCCCTATAGAAGTGCCCCAGACGCCCCTAGTCCCCTATAGAAGGGATCCAGATGCCCTTAGTCCCCTATAGAAGGGACCCAGATGCCCCTAGTCCCCTATAGAAGGGATCCAGATGCTCTTAGCCCCCTATAGAAGGGCTCCAGATGCCTTTAGCCCCCTATAGAAAGGCCTGTGATGTCCTTAGTCCCCTACAGAATGGATCCAGATGCCCCTAGTCCCCTATAGAAGGGCTCCAGACGCCCCTAGTCCCCTATAGAATGGATCCAGACGCCCTTAGTCCCCTATAGAATGGATCCAGATGCTCTTAGTGCCCTATAGAAGGAAACACGGCATCTGGGGACACCTATAGAAGGGCCCCAGGCACCCAAGGCCCCCTATAAAAGGGCCCCAGACGCCCTTAGTCCCCTATAGAAAGGCCTCTGATGCCCCTAGTCTGCTATAGAAGGGATTCAGACACCCCTAGTCCCCTATAGAATGGATCCAGATGCCCTTAGTCCCCTATAGAAGGGCCCCAGACGCCCCTAGTCCCCTATAGAATGGATCCAGATGCCCCTAGTCCCCTATATAAGGGATTCAGATGCCCTTAGTCCCCTATAGAATGGATCCAGATGCCCTTAGTCCCCTATAGAAGAAAACAAGGCATCTGGGGACACCTATAGAAAGGCCCCAGATGCCCCTAGTCCCCTATAGAAAGGCCCCAGACGCCCCTAGTCCCCTATAGAAGGGATTCAGATGC